TCCACTCCAGCAGTCTGAGCCCTTTCCCCCATTTTGGATAATTTGAAAAGACAGTTGAGAAACAGGCTTTCAAGAGTGAACTTTATCTACGTATAAGGGTAGGGGCTGGCGCGGTGGCTCATGCCTGTAATGCTAGCACTCTGGGAAGCCAAGGCAGGAGGATCGCTCGAGGTTAGGAGTTCGAGACCAGCCTCAGCAAGAGCAAGACCCCGTCTCTACTAAAAATAGAAAGAAATTAGCTAGACAACTAAAAATATATATAGAAAAAATTAGCTGGGCTTGGTGGTGTGTGCCTGTAGTCCCAGCTACTTGGGAGGCTGAGGCAGGAGGATCACTTGAGCCCAGGAGTTTGAGGTTGCTGTGAGCTAGGTTGATGCAACGGCACTCTAGCCCAGGCAACAGAGCAAGACTCTGTCTCCAAAAAAAAAAAAGGGGGGGTAGGTTATATTTATTAGGTCATTAAGTATGAAATGTCTGATTTCCTTAAGTACTAAGTTTGACAGTTGATCTCTGACATTTCATTTTGACACTTATTGGGTTTTTTCCTATTGCGAAGGCACATTCTCAGTCTTTCAAACACATTTTGGCTTGTGATTATCTTTCACTTTTTTTAGAGCAATTTTTGTGAAACCATGGGTAAGTCAAAAATTCATGTTATTTTTGAAAGTGTTTGAGAAGGATGAGGCTAATGAATGCACAGTATGTTGATGGTTTGAGAAGTTCCATTCCGGTGATTTTAATTTTGAAAGTGAGCCATGTGGTAGTTAGAGCTGGTGCCATTAGAAACATTGCCTTTCAATTCCCCATGGAAGCTTAAAAGTTCATGAGACGCTGGGTTCCATATACGGTATGGCTTTAAAGTAATGAGGTAGACATCCCCAAGCTCTTCTAAGAATGGGGTTCCTCACTTTATAAACAAACCAGGCATGGAAAGAAAGGGCTGGATGTAGTGCTATTGGAGGGCAGGGGTCAACATTCAGTCATTTTATCTTGTTATTTCAATGTGAGAATAATACTTGTGATTATTTCCCATATTGGAATAGCTAAGTTATTGAGTTAAATATAAAAAACTCCACAGCGTTTGTATTTACTGTTCACATTTTCTGCAAACCTTCTTTGAGAGTTGATGGCTTAGCCAACCTGATTTCAAGAGTTAAGTCCATTTACTTAGTATCTCTGGCATTTAGAGCAGGTAGACTGGAGTGGGAAAAAATAATCTAAACTTGAACACTGTTTAGTTGCTGACAAGAGCAATTACAGGGCCAGTTTTTTCCCTCTGTGCACAGTGCTATAAGGTCTTTGTTTGGAAAGTTTGTGCAAAATGTTTTCGGTGTATGTGTACAGTTAGTTCTACACACCCTTTCACCCAGCTCTCAGAGAGAAAGTGATAGACAAGAATACATTGAAGTGATTAACCCCTGCACGTGTGACCTATTGGATTAAAAATACAGTGCTCGCCACCATGAGTGAGGACACCGATGGCCGTTATAAAACGACTTACTGTCTAGCACAAGCGCCGGATCGGGGAGGGTGACGTGGCCTAAGTGCTGCTGCTGGGGGAGCTCTCGCCCGCGCCGGTGTTTGCACTGACTCAGGCCTTGAAAGCGTCAGGGAGCAGTGAGCTGCTCTTCGGGAGGAATCCTTTCACTTCCCTTTCTTTACAGCTGTTTCAAACCTTCAATACAACGGGGGCAGGGGGAGACTTTCATTCACAATTTTATGTTTCTACTTTAAACACTTCACTGTTGCTTGAATTTTAAAATATTAGGATGATGCCTGCACCTTTGTAATCAAGTAAAATGCAAGTCTGGTAAAAACCAGTTGCCAAGATACCTAATGGCATCCACTCTTAACACGCTGATAGAAAAGGGGGATCCGCGATTACAGATGCCATCCTCCCACCCGGTCCCTGGGCCACGTTGTGATTTGAAAGTGCCGCCCGGTTCGGCCGATCCGCTAGCTGCCGGCTGCACCCCCAGCGGCTCCCAGCGCTGCAGCCCGGAACCCCATAACCCGGGAGCTAACTTCTCTCCCCAGCCCTGTGGCTGAGTCAAACTGGCAAGAGGAAAACGTCACCCCTGCGTCTTGTCTTCAGAATGTTCCCTGGCTACCTCCCAGGAGTTGGAAAGAGAGTGAGGTTTTGGTCACAAGGTATTTGGATCAAGCGCTGACATTTTACTTTCTCAAGAGCATGAAACATGTAACAGCCCTTCCTTCCTGCCCCTGATTGTTACTTATTAGCCACCGGGCCTTGGGTCCAGGTTGGCGGTAAGGGTGGTCTGTGAGGTCCGTGCACCGCCATCCGCCCACGCCTTCTTCCAGCCCCCTCAGTCCGAGCCTCCACCCTTCCCCTTCTCCGCAGCTGCCCTGCTTCCCTCCGTTCCGCCCCCTCACCGGGCTCCCGCTCTTCCGGGGCCTCTGCTCTCATCTCTCAGTCCGGCCTGTTGGAAACCACTGTTGTATTTCCTGTGTCTATGAATTTGCCTATTCTAGAAATTTCATATAAATGAAATCAAACAATATTTGTCCTTTTTTATCTGGTTTATTTTGGATTAATGTTTTCAAGGTTCATCCATATTGTAGCATATATCACAACTTCATTCCTTTTTACAGCTAAATAATATTCCATTGTATGCACATACTACGTTTTGTTTATCCGCTTATCAGTTGATAGACACTTGGGTTGTTTCCACCTTTGGCTATTGCATATCATGCTGCTATGAATATTTGGCAAACAAGTATCAGCGTCCCTGTTTTCCAATCTTTTGGTTATGTACCTAGGAGTGGAATTGCTGGATCATGTGATAATTCTGTTTAACTTTTTCAGGAATGTCAAACTGTTTTCCACAACAGCTGCACCATTTTACATTCCCACCAGCGATATGAGGGTTCCAATTTCTCACATCACTTATTTTCTGTTTTTTTTTATTGTAGCCATACTAGTAGGTGTATCTCATTGTGGTTTTGATTTGCATCTCCCTAATGATTACTGACATTGAGTATTTTTCATATACTTATTGATCATTTGTATATTTTCTTTGGAGAAATATCTATTCAAGTCCTTTGCCATTTTTAAATTGGGTTGTCTTTTTGTTATTGAGTTATAGGAGTTCTTTGTGTATTCTGGATATTAAACCCTTATCAGATAAATAATTTGCAAATATTTTCTCCCATTGTATGGATTATCTTTTCACTGTTAGTCCATTTATCTTTTATAGTATTTATTAGTTTATACTTATAATTTCAAAAATATTTAGATTACTGTCTGTCCCTACCATTAGAATAGGCACACCATTAGGCTAAGGACCATATCTGTTTTTGCTCACTTTTATATTTCTAATAAGCCTAGCACAAGTGCTAAGTATTTTTGAATGAATGAATGAAGTTCCTTTAGCCTAATTTAGGAATCGTTGTGTTGATCTATTTCACCTTTTAACCAAAGTGGTTTTTTACTCTTATTGCTATATATAATAAACATTAATTTCACTCATTGAGATATAATTGACAAAGCAATAAACTATGCACATTTAAATGTACAATTTGATAAGTTTTGAGAAGGGTATACACAATTCACATATATCAGACCATTTGAAGTTGTCCCACAGCTCACTAATGCCCTATTCATGTTCTGTTTGTTTTGATCTCACTATATTGCCTGGACTGGTCTTGAACTCCTGGGCTAAAGGGATTCTCCTGCTTCAGTCTTTTGAGTACCTGGGACTACTCATGTATTCACTCTTTTTTCCTGTTATTTCATTTTGATAGTTTTTATTATGTCTTCAAGTTCAGTAATATTTTCTTTTGTAATGTCTAATATGCTGTTAAACCCATCCTGTGTATTTTTCATCTCAAGCATCATGGTTTTCCTCTCTACAAGCCCAGTTGGGTGTTTTAAACATCTTTCATGTCTCTGCTTAATATAATCATTCTTCTAGCTCTTTCTGTCCAACTCAGGGATCCACTGGGCTCTGGTCTGGGTTTCCCCTTCTTGCATTTGGGCCTAGAAATTCCTCCAGGCAGTAAACTGGATCAGTGATAGGGTTTACCTCATTTGTTTCTCCATCTCTCAGGGATCTCTATTCCTTGTTGCCTGATGTCCAATGTCTTAAACATGATTGTTTCATGTATTTTGCCAAGTTTTTAAAAAATCGTTTTATAAATCTGATTGCCAGTACTCCATTTGGCCTCTCACTCGTTTCTCTTTATTTTTGGAATCTACCCAGCTATTTCCTAGCTGTTGTCATAAATTTCCCCCTATAAACCTTGTTATCATTTTAGATACCTCATTGTTTCTTTCAGATGGCTTTCTTGGGGGGGTTAAGTGTGCTTTAAATGTTTGAGCACTTAAAGAATTAAGTAATTAAGGGCCGGGCAGGGTGGCTCACACCTGTAATCCTAGCACTCTGGAAGGCTGAGGTGGGAGGATCACTTGAGGTCAGGAGTTCAAGACCCACCTGAGTAAGAACAAGACGCCCATCTCTACTAAAAATAGAAAAAAATAGCTGATGTGGTATATTGGACTTGTAGTCCCAGCTACTTGGGAAGCTGAGGCAAGAGGATCCCCTGAGCCCAGGAGTTTGAGCTTGCTGTGAGCCACATGATACCACTGCACTCTAGCTGGGGCAACAGAGTGAGACTCTGTCTCAAAAAAAAAAGAAGAAAAGAATTGAGTAATTAGGCAGTGTAGGCTCTATCATCTTCAGCGTCATTGACAGGTAGGGGGGCTAGTTTAGAGGATCTGAAGACATCTGCATTTATAGGAAATTGGTCTGATGGCAGAAGAAGTAGCCAATTACTTGTATAGATTCATAATTCCTATGATAAATTTATAATTCTTATAGGATTAGTAATAAATTCACAGATATGGGTCATTAATAAATGTGAACTATACATAGTTTAAGAAAACTATTATGAATCTCTACAACATTTGGATTTTTCATAGCTCGAGAGAAAGAGTAACTCTGAATAGTAGTCTTATGATATTTTTTCTTTCCTCCTAGATTTAAACAGTCAAGCAAAATCCAGCTGGGTAATCATGGCAGAAGGTGGATTCGATCCCTGTGAATGTGTTTGCTCTCATGAACATGCGATGAGAAGGCTGATCAATCTGGTGAGATAAACAGGACAGTCCTATTCAGAACTGATCTGTATCCCTTCTGTCTTGTTTTTATGAGAATATTGGTTATTGTGGGATTTGTATCTGATTGTCACTAAAAAGTATTTCCTAATTGAAATTCCACAGTGGTTAAAATGTTAAAATATTTGCCAGAAATTCTTTTATTAGAGATGAAAACAGATTACTATCTTTATGGTAGATTTATGTTGGTGAAATTTGCCATCATGGGTAGATAACACATTCATATACAGCCTTTTCAACTCTGTATCAATACAAATAAATTGTTTTTGGCTATGCAGAACTTATTTGCCTGTTAAGGTGCTATTAAGTCATAGTTCCTGTTATGATATAGGACAAATCCTACTCCAACATGTGGTATGACAGTAAAAAATCTCTATATAAAACATTTCCAGAAGGACTGACACACAAATGAGAATCTTGAACTTTATTTACCTAAATTAAAAGGTATTTCTTTTTTTTTTTTTTTTTTGAGACAGAATCTCGCTCTGTTGCCCGGGCTAGAGTGAGCACCATGGCATCGGCCTAGCTCACAGCAACCTCAAACTCCTGGGCTCAAGCGATCCTCCTGTCTCAGCCTCCCGGGTAGCTGGAACTACAGGCATGCGCCACCATGCCCGGCTAGTTTTTTCTATATATTTTTAGCTATCCAATTAGTTTCTTTCTATTTTTGGTAGAGACGGGGTCTCGCTCTTGCTCAGGCTGGTCTCGAACGCCTGAGCTCAAACGATCCGCCCACCTCGGCCTCCCAGAGTGCTAGAATTACAGGCGTGAGCCATCGCCCAGCCTAAAAGGTATTTCTTAATCTAAAAAAAAAAAAAAAAAATTTCCAAATCCAAATTGATTATTTGACAGAAATAGATTTCTGGACAACAGAGTTTGGATAGTCTCAGTGAATCAACTGCAGTGAGATTTCAATTGGAGGTTTTTAAGACTGTCTTAGTCTATAGGCTTAGATACAGGGCTGTTTGTACTTTATACTTCTTATGTACAAAATAAGAAATTTGACCATTATTAAAAGTGAAATATATTCTTATTATATTACACATTATACAGGTTGGGTATCCTTTATCCAAAGTGCTTGGGACCCAGAAGTGTTTCAGATTTCAGACTTTTTTTGGATTTTGGAATATTTGCATTATACTTACTGTTTCAGCATCCCTAATCTGAAAATCCAAAATCCAGAATGCTCCAAAGAGCATTTTCTTTGAGCATCATGTTGGCACTCAAAAAGTTTCAGATTTTGGAGCATTTCTAATTTCAGATTTTCAGATTAGAGGTACTCAATCTGTAACAACATTTTGTTGTTGTTTTAAAATACTATTCGTATTCTGCTGGGTGAGTTAATAAAGGGAGATGCAAACATTTGCTCAAATATTTGAATTGTTGATAGTTAATAAGCAGGTTTTCTGCCAACTCAGTGTCTTTACCTGTAATGAATGGAAGTGTGTTTCTTGTGAATGATACACCCTTTTAGAGCCAGGATGCACTAGGACTTATGATCCTTAAGAATGCCTCAAAGGATTTTCAAATGAGACTCTCGAGGGTATAGATATAATGGTATTGTCATATCTCTGATAACTTGACATAAAAATAGATGAGTCTGAGGACAGAATATTTTAAAAAACATTTACTCCTGTTTATTTAAGAAGTGAATCGCTGATAGTTTTTAAGTCTAAATTTAATCAAACATAAGGCAAAAAATTTTTTCAAATCACTGTGCTATTAGGAACAAAAAATAGCCTTCAAATTTAACTGTGGTAAAATTTTCCTAGAGGATCACTTTTTACTAATGTTAACTATCTCTTTTTATTTCTTAGTAGTATTTTTTATTTTTAATTTAGTATCATGCTTTTTTCTATTAGCTCTACTGCTTTTTAGAAATGGTTAAAACTCAGCCCCGCTTTTTGTGATCCCCTGTACGTTTCTAAGATTCTCTTTACTTTAGTGGTCGACTGTCAGGAAAGCCATGTTTAACTGTGTGTAGACACAGCAATTTAAATTAATCTGTGCTTGATAAAGACGTTGTTTATGGCAATCTTGGTTTGAAATACTTTGCCATTATGTGAAAATAGGTTTGAGTTTTTACAATCTTTGAAAAGTTCACATTTTTTTAGTCTATGCTGCATATTTTACATAAAATAAATTACTGATAGGTGATCCTCTCATGTATAATGTACCGATAGCAGTATTGAATATTGAGAAACTCATTTGATTCATTAAGGAAACTTGCTGATTAGGTTTGATAAACATTTCTTTGAATTGAATTGTGCTTATAATTTTTATTTCATGCATGTTTCTTCTTTTATTTAAATTCAGAATCAAGTGGCATTATTGAGCCATATCTACTTTGTTAGTATTTAAGTGCTTTCTAAACAAGGTCTCTAAGTTCAGGAATTCAAAGATTTATGTATACTACTGTTTATGTTAGAACTGTTTATAGTAGTCAAAAGTTATAATGTACCAGTAGGCACATTTATATGGTGGAATCTTAAACAGATGTTTTAAAAAAATAATACCTTTGAAGAATATTTAATAATGGGGAAATACATATATATCAAATTAAAATATATATTTTTTATCAAATTAAAAAAGCAAGATATAAAAATGGCATTTAGTGTGATCTTGCTTTTGTTTACACACACAGAATCATATATATATGTATATATAAAAACAGGTCACATCCTAAGGATCAAGAAAATATATACATACACACACACACACACACGCACGCACGCACTAGAAGTAAATAAACCAAAACGTTAATAGTGGTTATCTCTGGATGGTAGAATTTGGGGTGAGAATTCTCTTTTATAGTTTCCTGTATTTTCTGTGATGGTATATCTTATAATCAGGAAAAGGTTATTTAACAAAAATTATCGATTTTTCATTTAACATTGTCAGTACTCATTTATAATTTACTAGGCTTTTCTACCTTTCATGCATCCATTATCTTCTACTTTTGTAATTCCTAGGACCTTTTTTCTTAGTACCTGTTATCTTACAGCTTCATGGAACATTAAGCTAACTCGCAGCCTAGATTTTAAAAGCAATATATCAAAAGGTATAATTTTTCTCTATTAGTTATAACTATCAGAATTTAAATCCCTCTGTGCTCAGGAAACTCATAGATGTAATAGTGATGTGTTCCAGTATGATGACAGAGAAGAGATATAGTCTCATTTTTCTAAAAATGGACATTTAATTCATTCTTAGAGTAACATCTCATTAATTTCAAGTACTAATTTGGAATTTTTGTTATTTTTGACCTCATGATAAAATTGAGTTTTTTTGGAAGTCAGAGTGTCATCAGTTTCAAAGGATTTAAAGTGCTAATAGAAAGTAGAAACCTGGGGAAACTTGAAAATTTTAGTGAGTATTTATGGGTTAGCTCATTAGCTGTATACTGAGTTGTGGTTTGGTTTTTGTCTATTCTGTGGAAATAGATGGCTTTGCTAAGGGATATATACAACGTAGGAGCAATTAGGATTTTATCATTAGTTCCTTTTCATAAATAATAAAGTATACTATATACTACTATAAATAATGCTAAAGTAAAATGTACTAATGTACATAAATCTTTCATGATTTTTTTTTTTTTAAGAGATAGAGTCTTGCCATGTTGCCCAGGCTGGCCTCAAACTCTTGGCCTCAAGCTATCCTCCCACCTTACTTTTATGTATCATTTATGTTCCTTTTAATAAAGTTTTATTCATTCACAGTTTAAAACTTCCTTCTGCCAGGCATGGTGGCTTACACCTGTAATCCTAATGACTCAGGAGGCTGGGGTGGAGGATTGCTTGAGGCCAGGAGTTTGAGACAAGCCTGGACAACATAGCAAGACCCCATCTCTTAAAAAAAAAAAGAAAAGAAATATTAGCTGGATGTGGTGGCACACACCTGTAGTCCTAGCTACTTGGGAGGCAGAGGCAGAAGGATTGCTTAAGGTCAGGATTTCAAGGCTACAGTGAGCTATGATCACTCCACTGCATTGCAGACTGGGTGACAGTGAGATCCCGTCTCTAAAAAAAAAAAAACAAAATCAATCAATCTAACTTCTTTTCCTGATTCAATAATTATGTTAGTTAAAGTTCTTTATTATAAGTAATAGAAGTTCTGGCTGATTTGACGAGAAAAGGGCTTATTAAAAGGATATTATGTGGCTCACATTGAAGAACCTGGCGTGAAAAATGAATAGGATGAAAGGAAGGATACATGGTCAAAATGAGAGCCAAAGTCATGCCCCAGAGCTAGTTGGACCAAGATACTGCTGCTTCTGGATTCCAGACTTTTGTATATCCAACTGTTGTACATCATCTCTATTTGGATAACTAATAGGCATTTTACATGTGTGTAACCAAACTTATCTTGCTTCCAAGCTCATACTTCTGTCAGTCTTCCTATTCATTGCATTATTCTGATTGCTCAGGCAACAACTTCGGGTCACGTTTAACCCTGTTCTTTCAACCCCATATCTGATACAGAAACAAATCCTTTTGGCTCAACCTCAAAAATATTTCCAGAATCCAGCCATTTGTCACACCTCCAATGCGACATCCTGGTCCAATCTACCATCATCGCTTGCCTGGGTTAGTACTGCATTTTGCCTCTTTATAGATCTCCTTACTTCTTCCTGCCTGTCAGGCCCCACCCCCTTCAAATTTAATCTCACCACAGCAGCTGAAGTGATCCATTTTAGACACGTCAGCTAAATGTTCCTCCTTTGCTCAAAATCCTGTATTAGCTCCTATGAGACTCAGAGTGAAAAAAAAACAACAAAATTTACATGGCCGTACGTAATCTGTCCTCTTCCACCCTACTCTTCTCGTTTGCTCACTTTGTTCTGACAATTCTGGATGCCTTGCTATTCCTGGAAAACAGGTCACATACTAAGGATCAAGAATCTGAATGACTTTAGACTCCTCAACAGCAAAATTATAAACTAGAAGGCATTGACACAATGACTTCAAAATTTT